TATGCTGGATTAGTGCCAACTGGTAACATTGTTGCAAGTACGTGTAGTATGTTAACGGTGCCACCGATATATAATAATGGTATGCTTTCTGGTTAATTTTATTAAGCCAGTGGTTTTTTTTTTCAAATGGCAGGCGTTATGATAGGTATCATGGGGTGTGCAATAGACTTACCTCCACGTGGTGCACCCTGGACAACGTATAATCATACGGCAAAAATGTCTATCAATCAGTAGTTGACTTCTAACTTCAAACTACCATCACCCCACTGTATGTCATATTCGACTACTTTCACAGTACTCATCTCACCTTTTTTCTTCCTTTGTGTCTGTCTTTGAAATACTCTTCTGTCTCCCCCCCCCTTCTCGACTTTTTTTCACTTTGAAGTTCTATCCCTACCTGATATCCACTAGTGACGATAATTGAAATGAGGATAGCCAACAAAGTTCATTGATGACTTCAAATGATTCGAGGCCACGCAGGCGTTGAGGTCAATTCATCTCGCAAATTACTTGCTGTAGCATCCTTCGAAGCGTTTTGGCTTTTATTTCGAGCATTATGAAATCTTTTGCAATATGCTCCGTGCATACATGCAAACATAATTCCTTTAATGGCATCTCAATTTCTAAAGCTGTCGTAAACTTACAAATGTGCAGTTAAAATCATTTTTTTCCTCTATTTCATTAAAATTTCGAACTGAACGTCTTTAATCAATTTCATTGTTTAAATTATTCTCTCACATTCAACTGCTCGTCAATTATCATGCTGCCTTAAAAAAAAACAATAAATTATGAGGGCTTGAATGAACACAAACATTTATCCATTCGTCTAACCTTTTCATGCAAAATAACCCAGAACAATAATGCCGCATGTTTGTAACTTTTAGCATTTAAAGATTATGTCCCGTAATTCCAAAGGCTCACATGATACTCCCCTTCGAGTATCCTCAATTTCTGAACATATTTGATTTCCATCCTCTTTCATGTGGAAAATTCTTAGAGTATTCAAATTACTTTTTCAACCATTTTTGCAATACATTTCATTTTATAGTCTTTTCTTGGCTTATATTTTGATAAAATTGGGTGTGTGTGTGTGTGTGATAGACTTCTCGCAACGTGGTGCACCCTGGGCAACCTATGCTTACACGAAAAATAAGTCTATTAACCGGCAGTTGACTTCTGACTTCAAACTACCATGACCCCACTTTATGTCATATTCGACCCCCTTCCACAGTACTCACCTCACCTTTTTTCTACCTTTGTGTCTGTCTGTCTCTTTTACATCCGCGAATCACTCTTCTGCCTCCCCCCTTACAACCTTTTTGTCACCCTTCCTCCTCCTCTCTGTGAAGCCCAAAGTCAGCTAAAGGGTCCTCCTCCTCTCTGTGAAGCCCAAAGTCAGCTAAAGGGCTCTTGATAACTTTCAAATCGCCTGCCATTTGATATAATAATAATAATAATTGATGCATATTACCTTAATTTAAATGTATTAATGTTAAATCAACCCGTTAGAGCAATATGCCTGTTTATAAAAAATAAATAATAATTGGGTTTATAAAAAAAATCATTCTGGTATCCAGAATGCTTCCTCAATTATTGGAAAATCCACCAATCACAAATATTTCCAAAAATTACTGTAATATATTTTACTGACTTCCAAATATTATTTGTAACAATAAATATTTGAAATCAGTGTATAATGAATCAATGTGCGTTGAGATATTGGAGCCAAATGGAAGCCAATTATGAGAGGAACGATAACAGAGCTTGATTAATTAAAATAATTAATAAAAAATTTTTGAAATCGAAGTTAATGCCAAATAACGCATATATAAGAAATTGTTTTTATGATATTCAGTCAAATGATATTAAATAAATTTAATATATTTGTCAGCCAAACTCGATTATGAAGAATTAAATTCGAGTACTTTGGTGATTCCAGTGTCTTTGAAATTTTAGTCTATATACAAATTTCAAAAATGTATCCTTAAATTAAATTATTTTAAGCCTGATTTGATGTCTATTTTGGTAGATGCAGAATTGAATTAGGATGTTTTTATGCTAGAGCATTTCATATGCTTTTACACTCATCGATTAGGAGTGTGCGATAGACTTACCTCCACGTGGTGCACCCTGGGTAACGTATACTCATGCGGCAAAAATGTCTATCAATCGGTAGTTGACTTCTGACTTCAAACTACCATCACCCCACTGCATGTTATATTCGACTACTTTCACAGTACTCATCTCACCTTTTTTCTACCTTTGTGTCTATCTCTTTTATATCTTTGAAACACTCTTCTATTCCCACCTTCTCTCGACTTTTTTCACTTTGGTGTTCATTCCCCTCTGTGAAGCCTGAAGTCGACTAAAGAGCTAATGATAACTATCATAGCGTCTGTCATTTGATATAAATAAATAAATAAACACTCCTCTATTAGGAATTAACGTGAATCAAGTTAGGTTGGAAAAATCAAACCTACATTGATTTTAATTTATTCAAATTTAGGTCCATTGGTTACGTTTCCACGTCCACCATAGATAACACTAAAATGTCCTTTATTCCGTCTTATGCCTCTGTTTCTTTGCCAAGAAGAGTAATAAAAAGAGCAAGTTAAAGCCAAATACTTGCACCAAATTTTAAATTTAACACTTTTTACCTTGCAGTATTAGTCAGAAGGGAATGAGCCAATTAACTTTAATGGAGGTGGCATTGATAGCCTAATCGTTAAAGAGACAAGAAGAAAGCTTGCGTTTAAGGCGTTTTTTACATAAATTCTGGTGTTTAAAGCCAAAATTTGTAAAACTGATATGACAGAGGATGAGCCACTTAATCTTTAGTCAGTATTGAAGGAATGAGTGGGAGGAGTGATTGGGAGAAAAGTTGGTGGAGTCATTACTGGGGGGGGGGGTTGGGAGAGTGCAAACTGGATTGTGAGTAGCATGCGAAATGGAGTAAAATGTGGTAGTTCGTCGATTCCTTCTTATATACACTTTGTCTCTTTGGTTATAGGCATGCATGGGTAGAGACGCGTCACCTGAAGAAAATGGGAGGTCTAGTCAGTAGTCTTCAAAAACTACACACCTACTTTATAACTTGGGGTGTGCGATAGACTTACCTCCACGTGGTGCACCCTTGGAAACGTATACTTATACCGCAAAAAAATTATATTAACAGGCAGTTGACCTCTGACTTAAAACTACCATGACCCCATTGTATGTCATGTTCGACCCCTTCACAGTACTCATCTAGCCTTTTCTCTGTCTTTGTGTCTGCCTGTCGTGTACATCTGTGAATCGCTCTTCTTTTCCCCTGTCGAATTCTTCTCACTTTAGTGTTCCTCCCTTCTGTGAAGCCCAAAGTCAACTAAAGGGCTAATGATAACTATCAAAATGCCTGCCATATGAAATAAATACACTTTATAACTTTAACTAATAACGCATATTTGTTACAGTGAATGATATGCAATAGCCACTGTTTGACAAAAACTTATTTAATTAGTCGTTGCAGGTTCAAAATTGACGCAATGTTTCCTCAAATATTGCCGCTCTTATGAGTGCAGACATGCAACATTCTCACACCCCATCCCACCACATTGTATTCTTTGGGAGCCTATAAGTAGAGAATTATAATTTCCGCACATTCAAGTTGTTATCACTCAAGTGACAGCACGTAAAATGCGTTTGAAAATTTTAAATTAAAAAGAGTGGCTGGCTTTCTGCAATCATAGCTCAGTCAATTTGGTCCCTCAATTCGTTTGCGGAGTTCCGCAATCGTTGGTGATTTCTCAATACCTTATGAAGCAGCTCTTCAAAAGCTATACAAATCGATTGGACGTTTAGAAGGTTATTGTGCCATAAGAAGCTTTGCAAATGCCTTCGGAGATTCACTTGTTTTATACAACCACATTTTTGCTCAGCCGATTTTGTTCGATTTTTCCAGTCAAGTTGATTTGATAATGGCTCACACATATTGCCAAATATTGCGCATAAATTGTGTTTAAGAGCAAATTTTTTGGTACCTGAATGAAATTTGGCATGACGAACGTAAGAACAATCGATAATATAGAAATCCAATGGCAAAATAGAATTTAATTTGGTTGAAGACACACTGTGTGTATGGAAATTGCGCAGGAGGAGAAGTTGGACTCACATTTACAAGGTACCCCCTAATTCCACCATCTTTTCCCTTCAATCCACAAATTGCTGGAGCTACAAATACTACTTACAACTTTTCAATAGTATAATAATAGTCCTGCCCGATCAAGGTGCTGCTTAATGCGCTAGCTGTATTTGCGACAGTACTCCTAAATCAAGCCAAGTTGATTGGATCGTAGTAAAGATATGACCCATATATACTCCAGATGAATATTATTATTTAATGGAAAACGAAAGGGATTTTGCTTACTCCTCAGACGCCGAGAACCTCATATAGATTTGCGTTCCAAATTTGTCCTGGAACAAGGGTATGATGAATAGAGATGGTTAGCAAATGTGAATCTTTGAAGGATTCTTCCCCAGCCCGCCTCCATATTCAACTCTTTGTCGTCGGCGTCATGCTAATAGTGGAAAGAACAAACTTAGTTGTGAATCCGAAAATCCGTTTCGATCCCAATTAGTTACTTCTTCAGATATAACACAAGCTCAAGCAAACCGTGAAACGCATTGGAGAAGAAAAACCGAAACCAATGTTCCTATCTGCAATCAAGGTACTGCGGTGGTCTACCTTGGGTGGTGGATAACAAAAATTTAGTACATTAGGAGCTCATTTGTCAAACACAACTTCATGTTCTCGCTTTCACCGATACAGTCAATTTTGTCTTCCCAATTAGTTTTCAATCTGTCAGAAACACTAAGTTGACACTTAAACGGCCGTCTAATGCCCAGCCAGTTTGCCGCCCTAGTAAGTGGACTCCACTGCAGCCAATGTTGGACGAAGAACCCCAAAATGAGAACTAACCATAAAAAACATGCATCTTATTGAGTGTTATTCTCGCTGTTATTCAGAAAGCAAAGGCCTTCTTCTCATCAGCGTGGTGTCGGATGGCATGCAGCATTTGGATGCAGTTGACATCTCCATAGGCCACACCGTGGCTCATTGCCCACACCTCGTAGAGTGCCACCCTATTACTCCTTAAGTTAATTAATGATTAAATAAATGTTATTTCATGTACAAAAAACAAAAGCAAAAATAAAACACAGGCAGGTGGATGGAGAAGAGGTAGCTCATGTTGGACGGCCTTCTAGTACGTGGTGGATAAGGTGGGGTTAGGAGCTGTGAGAAGATGAGCCAACCATACTAGAAGCCCACTTCATGGGAGCGGTGAGGTCGAGAGGTGCGCATCTCTTCTTCCCTATACGCCAAATTCGCCACTTTCTCGATGAAAGCCTAATAAGGCGACTGTACCAAGTGCCCACTGACTCCCTTATCCACTCCTCATTCGACATGCCACTGTGCCTTGAGGGATCAGTTACATGGAGAATTAGAAGAGTGTGCCTTGGCTTCACTGGGTTTGACACAAGTTCCTGACACTCCATCTGCACAACAGCATCAAATATAACAATCACCAGTAAATACACTGCGTGAGAATCGGTGACTGTAAAACCACTACGCTCTATGATATTAATGATCTTATCATGCTCCCATTGAACCAGCAATCTACTAATACTATTCTTATTAAATAATCGCAAATAAACAGGACACTTGGAGGAGGCGGTAGTTGTGGTGGTGGTGGTGGTGGTCTTTGGGAGTCCATCGGATTGGGATCGTGATAGCCTCACCTTCTTCTCCTCAGCGGCGTGGTAGCGGATGGAGTGCACTTTATCCAGGCAAAGCTCTAACTCATTGGCAGATCGAAAAAGTTGAAATAGCTTACCATCAAGCCATTCGATATTTCTCACATAGTTCTCGAGACATGCTTGCATTGCCGGATCCTTGAGCACACCCTTCCAACCTCCAATGACCAAGCACACATTCATGAGATCTAGTACATCCAAATACTCGCGAATTCGTGTGATCAACGCCTTGCTGAGGCAGTCGATGGTTTTCTTTCCGATTGCAGATGGTTGGGTCTTGAAAAATAACAGGAAAATAATGATTAAAGTCAAAGAACAACTGTGCGTTAACCACGTTCCTCATCAAAAGTCCAAATTTTAGCTAAGTTGTGGGCACCGATTTGATTTGGCAAGCACGTTTTTGCAAAACGAATTTATACCAATTTATCATCAGCACTCATCGTGGACTAAGCAATGTACCACAGGAACTGACAGTGTCCACCAACTGACGGATACCACGTTATCGTGCCCAGATGGTACTAGTGCAAATTTAAAATGCGCAAGTATTGAATTCCATTTCCCGCAAGAACTCCAAGAGCGTTCAGAAGCTTATAAAGTTAAGTTATAAAAAGGTAATGTGAAATGCGTTTCCTCGCTTCCAAGTGAGTGTATGGCTATAGTTCAATTACTTCTTTCCTTTCTTGCCCAGAAATGCAGCATTTCAACTGTTGCTATAAAGGCATTTCTGCAATTTTGGCAATATTAAGCCAATTTCTTCCTGCTCTAAATTTGATATCTTTTGCGTCGATTGTAAGTCGATATGAGATATGACAAAAATACACCAAGCCATCATTCAACACTCAACTGCAGTCTACCTACAGTAAGGAATACTTGCGAAGCATGAAAAGGGGAAAACGTATTTACCGACGCTCTCACTTACCTAGTCTCCAGAGGCATTCAGGCGTCGATTCCGTCATGTCTCACTTCCACCAGGCAACTAAAATAGAAAAAAATTGTTTTAATTGTACTACCGCAAACTGCTTATAAATTTAGCACAACCAAAATATCACTTGGGGATGAGGCGATTTCAAGTCATAAAATGTTTGACCTAAGCTTTAAGCACGCCACAAAAACTTGTTGTAGTTGGTTATGGTGACCTTGAAAGAATTATAAATGGTTTTTATTATTTATTTATATCAAATGGCAGGCGTCTTGATGATTATCATTAGATCTTAAGTTGACTTCAGGCGTCACAGAGGGGAAAGAACATCAAAGTGAAGGAAAGTCGAGAGGGGGGACAGAAGAGTGTTTCAAATACGAAGGTAGATAAAAGGTAAGACGAGCGCTGTAGAAGAGATCGAATATGACATGCAGTGGGGTCATGGCAGTTTAAAGTCAGAAGTCAACTACCGGTTTATAGACTTTTTTGCCGTACGAAGATACGTTGCCCAGGGTGCACCACGTGGAGGTGAGTCTATCGCACACCCCATTTATTAATGGTAAAAAATAATTATTTGCTTCTTGAATCGTGAACCATTATTTGACTGAGTAGATAGTCCTAGAATGGTGAGTCGTTTGGTCTCTTGCTTGCCTAATTGTAAGCAGGGTGTGCTAGTAGAAATTGGATGCATTTCTTTGTTCTCTGCTTTTATTTGTTATTTTTCTGTTATTAATTAAGGCCCAACTATCTGCATGGGCTACAAAATCCATCGGTTGCCTCAACATGGCAGTGATCAAGCGAGTTTGCGATTTGTGGAAGTTCCAGATCTCGTAAATGCTTCCTCTGTCATTCCAGATTGGGATGATATTCTCAAGTACCCTACAATAAAACGGCTTCTTCAAGATCACGTGAAGAATAGTAAATGGGTCGATCGAAAACTATTTCCACTATTTCAACCGGTAAATGAGCTTGATCTATGCATAGATAAAGTGCGCGCTATTCGACATCATGCTCCTGAGGTGAAGTCTATGGAGTCGCGTTCCCTGTCTGATAGACACCCACTCAATAATAATATTTTATAGTGACGAACTGGAAAGAGGCTATTTTCAAATTCAAAGTGTTCAAGTTCATGATTTGCTTCAGCTTAGTAGATTTACCATTGCTCATTCGAACCATGTGGATTTAGTGATCGGTGTTATATTCGATCCCCATGCACAGTGGGTCGACTTGGCATTTGTGAAACCCGATCAAACTCTTCTTATTCTCCATGTTACTGAGCCTTCTAGAGACGTCATGTCGAATGAGGACTGGATAAGGGAATCCATAGGCAAATACTACAGTTACCCATTTAGCCTCCCATCAAGGAAGTGCCGTGTTTGGCGCATATAGAAGATTGAAGATGGTACCCTCGATTTCACTGTTCCTATTGATTGGACTTATTTTACAGTTCTCCCGACTTCTCACAACTCCTGAGCTCTCCATGCTCTTGAAGGCTATCCCAAAACAACCACTTCATCTCCCGATTCGTGAAACTCTTATCCGCAACACGGCCACCTCTTCTCCTTCAACCTGCATTTGGTCTACTTTATTGTACCCAAAATGACTTTAGTCCTCCTTCAAAATTGTATTTTTTTTCAAAATTGTCCTTTTTGAATACTAACTTTTAGGGGTAATGAGATGACACTCTATGGGGTGCAAGCAATACACCAGTGTGTCTGATAGAGTTGAGAATTACAAAGGTGATTCATTTATATCAATTGTCAGTGACGAATATCAAAGTCGCAAAAAGTCGAAGGGTGATTGGAAACGAAGATTGATTCATAGTTTTAAGGAAGGCAGAATGAAAGGTAGATTAAACAGATGAGATGAGTATCGGGAAGTGGTGGAATATGTCATGCAGTAAAGTCATGGTAGTTTGGTGTCAGAAGTCAACTGACGATTTGCAGACTTTTTGCAGTTTAGTGAATGCCTCGAAATTGTACCACGTGGAGATATGCTCATTGTGTATCCCGAATTGAACATTGATAAGTGGGAAGAAGATAAATTTTATGGGGAATGTGAGATGGATTGGCACAACTGCAGCTGATATGAGGTCATATCCTCATAGTAGACGGTTCAAGCGAAGTGTTGTGAGATGAAATCCGTTAGTAAAACGATGTTACGCTCAATAGCTTTGAATGACAATTGTTCAATTTTTTGTTATTGGTAGTCAAATTAGTGGAGCATATTTTTGGCGACGAGGCTCATTGTATTGGAATGTGACTGATACCAAATAGTCGTCAATGTCACCATCTAAGTAATGTTTACTAAATTAACGAAATTGTAATAGTTCAATTAATGCAAATTTGTGCTAATGCATGCAATGCACAAATGAAAAATTTGAATTCCCATTGAAGTATGTGTGTGCTGTTAAATTAAGACATATTGCAACTGCTCCTGTCGTCCAATACAAGAGTAGTTATGATCAGGTTCATAGGGGTGTGCGATAGACTTACCTGCACATGATGCACCCTGGGCAACGTATATTCATACGGCAAAAGAGTCTATTGACTTCTGACTTCAAACTACCATCACCTTACTCTATGCCATATTCGACCATTTCCACAGTACTCACCTCACCATTTTCTCTGCCTTTGTGTGTCTGTTTCTTTTACATCTGTGAATCCCTCCCCCCCCCCCTCGACTTTTTATCACTTTGATGTTTCTCCAATCTGTGAAGTCCGAAGCCAAATAAATGCCTAATGGTGACTATCATAAAGATTTCCATTTGATATAGATACAAAAAATAAGTTTTCAGTTAAATTAATTGATGTGAATAAGCGCATTGCTTCAGTTTTTCCATGTTCATTACATATCTACTCAATATGAACAAAGTAGTGTTTAGAACTCAAGACCCAATTTTTAGGTAAATTACTTGGGTTGAAAAGTCGTTCAGCTGTTCAGTTGGCATTATTTCTTGTTTCAATGCTTGAGTATGGAGCATAAGCTTCTATGCCGCGATAATGCCTTTATCTGTGGAGATTTCAAAATTTACAACTCCGTCTTTCTTAACAAGAGGACATTTATGGTTGACTGTTAGTTCACTGCTCTCACCAACTCGCTTGCTCCCTGCGCCACAAGTTGTACCACCATACGCTGAAATGCATGTGAGTGATCAAGCAACTTCTTGCCTCAGCAAAAATATTGAATCTCTGATTTTGCTTATGGCTATGAAGAGGAATTAGTTTCTAATCACATTGCAATTGTCAGCATACTTGAGTTTCGTTTGAACTATTTTATGAAATTAATAGAATGGTCTATTTGATGACTTGGGTTCTCCCACCCCCAGCCCCATTTTCGGGTCTCCATATATTGGCAGTTCTACTAGGTATTGCAAGATCGAATAATGGGCTATAATGCCAAACAAGTAACACATGGGCATAATTTGTTAAAGTGACTTTTGAAAGTGGCACAAATGTGCAATAGATGTTTATCTTATCTTAATTGTATTCCTGGTAGGGTAATTCAATGCTAGAATGGTAGACAATTCTATTTCATGAAACAATTCCATGTGTCACATCAACACAA